AGCTCAACCAGGCTTGAGCCAGCCTTGGATGCCAATCTCGGGCCTTGTTTAGCCGGGGTTGGGCCGCCCATCACCCAAGCTTGGGCCAATTGTCAATTCCTGCCTGGGCTGTACCTCCACATTCCTGCCAATGTTAAAAAAGCCTAGATTTCCCTTGAACTGGATTTACTGACTTCAATAAACCGCTCAGGCTGTGCACGGACTTTGATGGAAAAAGGGGTTGGGTATAAGGGAAATTGAAGGCGTTTTTCCGCCGATTGTTGCTTTCAATTTAACCAATTGTCCCTGATCGTAAATTACGATTTTATTTATCTATTGTTGGGAACCTGGGGGAGGATTTTTTCTGGGGGATATATGATGTATGAATGGATTTTGCTGCCGGAAAAATACTCGCCATTTATCCCGGTGAGAATTGGAGATTCTTGGCGCGTTTATTAGATCGCCTCGAATTTATCAAGAATTTATCGTGCTGGATGATTTCTTTCTGTTTCTGTCATGATTACCACTGAATTCTGAATTATGGGGTGATTTATTTATTTATTTATTTTTTTTTATTGACCCAGAAATTTGTTTGGATTGAGGAAATTTTTCCGCTGTCTGTGCTGCGTGTCAAATTACGCCTGTCAATATTTCATGAATTTTAACTTGTTAATCTATAGAAATTTCTCTATAACCCCGAGGGTTCACTGGGAATTGAGAGTTTATTGCTATTGAAAACGCGAGCATTCAGGCTTCTATGATGGGAGTAAGTGTGCCTAGGGGATCATTTTGATATCAGTTTTATTGGATAATAATGGTATTGAATATTGAGGCTGTGAGGATGAAGGGAGTGGGATTCCAGGTAATGGAGATGATTCTATTGTGGCGGTATTTCCCTTTTCAATAACTGACACGGAATTAATTTTCTGTGTATGCATGCCACAATATTCATCCCAACAAATCAGAGAACTCCGTTCTTCCATCTGAACGTGTGATAATTCCACGACTATATAATTGACAAAAAAAAAAATTAATAAAAGGCTGGACTTCCGTTGTGAATTCCGCAATTTATTTCAATCTCCAATAAACCGTGGATATTCAGTGCAAAATTGAAATTCAAAAATACATCCATCAGAATTTCTCAGCTTTCTTTCAATTTCCCTAGAATAATGGCACTGATATTCACAGTTGCTATTGTTTTTGTAACTGCGTTTTTATTTATTATGAAAATTGTTGTCAGTGTGAGGTGATCACGCGAATGAATAATCTCCGTCCACATTATTTTGCTTTTCATTGCGAAATACTATTTATTTGTTGGATAATGAAATTAATCCTTTGGCGTCATGAATATCCATTTCCGCAATGACTAATCATATTCGTCAGTTGATTCGATTTTTAATAGCCTATAAAATACCTCATCCTCTTGGATATTGCCGTTCAATAGTTTTTCATCTCTCTTTTGATTTACTTTCCCCTTCCATCTGCAATGCAGAAAAATTGAAACGATATTTGTGTGTCCGTTAATTAAAAAGTAATCATCGAAAAATTCAAATGGACCTTTGAAGTGATTTATCAATTAAAATCCGAGAGTACTCGATTTAGGTTATTTGATTGCGGTGTATGTTACCTTTAAAGGAAAGTATACTTGTAACTAAACTCTGGAAAGTAGAATTTTTCATTGCGCGATTCCTTGGAAAACGGAAATCGCCGTGATTCAAATGAATGGAAAAACAACAGACCGCGGAAGTTCCTGGAATAAAGACAAATATGAATAAAAGGCTGTCTCAAACGGGAATAGGAATACTAACGTTGAGAAAATCTTGGAGTCGCTGTTGCGGGTCTGTGACATCGAGCCAATTTTCCGCAGAAGCGAGACTCTCCTGTCGAGTGTACGACAAACAACTGCTTTTGAATTTTTCCTTCCACTTTTCTTTTTCAATTCCATTAGTGAGAAACGCGAACTGACCTTCTTCCTTCATTTTTACTGTCGCATTTTCTGTAATTGGTATTACGTATTTGTGCGAATTCGTAGTTGCTCAGTGTCATATAAGAATATGAAAAAATACCATGAATGCTCTATAATTGTTTTCATGTTAACCAATTATTGATTTTTCAATGAAAACTTGTGAAGACTGCGGACTGAATACGATTGAATCTCTATCAGATTGAAAATTGAATCTATTTAATCATCCAAGTGTACCGCCACTGAAAATCAATCTCAACTAATTACCCGATCCGTAACTAGACCGGAAGGGTCAAATCGTTATCTCCAATTACAATAATTAAAGATTTGCATCACAACTCATTAAAAAAAATATCCGCATCAGAGATTTGGACAAAGTGAAACATGCACAGCATGACGAATTTGCCCGAGATATTCCCACACGTATGATGAAGTAGTTAAAAACCCCGAGAAAAATGAAGAAAAATATTTCAACGAGGTTGAAAAAGAGGAGAGAGGAAAAAAAAAATGAGTGAGAAGTATGAGAGGTGTTCCGCAAAAATTTCCGGACCGCGGAGGAGTTTTCATATCGGTGGCAAGAGGACGAGTACATCCGTGCGCGAAATTACGTCCTGACCGTATGACGAGAAATGGAGCGTAGAAAGTGTTGGAATAAGAGGGGATGGAAGGAACGTCAGATAGACGTATGTGTATGGGTCCAAAGGATTTTTAATATAAAAGGGTTTTGTGTTGTGGAAGGGGGTGGAGAAGTTGTGGGGATGCACACGATATGCCGTATGTACAGCCTGTGCGATATACTGTGGAGATGGGGGACACACGTTATATGGAAAAGGTCGAGAAGTTTTTGAGGTGCATAGCATGGAGAAGAGGTAGAAAATGCTCTGACACGCGCCGTGTACACGGTTATCATGCATGCATGCGTCTCGCCGTTGTGGTCCTCTTCAGGGGGTGAATTTCCCAGCTGTGGGACACCCTCAACTTTCTCCTCAACATTTCCCAACATTTCAACAGCTCCCACTTACGCAACCGCATGTGTCCAGAAGTTTTTGTTAATTCTCCGCTACTGACCCTTCTTAACGAATTTACCTCGACATGGCCGAGTTCGTTGGCTAATTACAGAGTTGCTTGATGAATATTCTGGGGTTCATACACCGTTACAATATTACATACCCCACATCAACTTAAAAAATACGAAAATACGAAATTTTTAGCGATTAGTGGTGATACGAATAGAATTATTCATTGGTTAATCAGATTTGATTTATCCGTTCTGTGATTCCGCTAAAATTTTACAGAACTACTGCCCGAATGAAAATTATGTCCACTGATAAATTATAAGTTATATATAATTATATCCAATTATGTTTGATATAGTGTCTAGCATTTTCACGGTGAACCTGAAAATTCAAAATCAAATATCATTTGATTACGGAGTCGACTCGAAAAATTTAAGTGACGACATTTTTCACAGATAATCCAGATAAAAATACGAAACGCCCCGGAAAAAAAATCACAGATGATTTTCGCTCTGGAATTACAATTACAATTAAAAAGACACATAATTGTTATTGAATATTTCTCCCCATACCGTGTTTCTGAATATCTCATGATTTGTTTGAAACAGTCTGTTTGCAACATATGATTTATTGGCTTCAATGGTAAAGCCACACGTGGGTGATCCCCTAGGTTAGAATGACTATTGAAAGAACATGTCAAACCATTGACATGCCATGGTGTTACGCAAACGTGTGATTATTGATTTTGAAAATGGTTCAACAAGTGGTGAGCACCCGCGGTCGCGTACCAGTCACCTACCGATTCTTGTATCGCGTACAGTCAATTATTCCATTTTATCCATTATATTCACGCGAGATTCTATCCAAACTATTAGTTATCCCAGTCACATAATTACCTTATTAAATTATGAAGCAAATGAATTATTGACAATCAACTGCCTTACAATCTGTATTTATTTCTACCATTGACGTATTCATTCATTGATTATAAATAACTTGAACGTATTCTCATTAAAAAATTATAATACCACGTGTTTCAAACTGTTTTGTATGAGTCAGGATTTATTTGTGTTACAATAAATTTAAATTAAATGTATCAAGATGAAAATATTCGTCGCTCTTTGCGTTTTTATACCGCTGGTAAGTTGACCTGTAATTCTTGCGTTTTTGGTTATTTTATTTATAATTTCTTTAATATCAGTTTCAGAATGCTGTTTCTGTTGGAACGGAAGATGGTTATCCATACCAAGTCAAACGTAGTCGCTTCCACGTTATCATTGTGAATTTAGTAAATGCTATAAATAAATATGAATTTCAGTTGGTTGAAATAGATAAGGAGTTTTTCAGCTTTATGAAGTCGAAACAAAACGGGGTCTTGGAAAAATACCAGCACTACCAAGACAAGGTATTTTTCCACAAAGATTTTAATTACAGCACGTACACGTATTAAATAAAATAAAATGCAATCTATCAGATATGTTTGTGCTAAAAAATGCAATATGTCTCAAAAATATGTCAACAGAAAGAGAACTCCGTAAATGATCAGCCGTTTATTTATTAATGAATACTTGAATTTTAATTTTAGTATGAAGCTAAAGGACAGCAGTTGAAAAACGAAAGTTTTTCGCAGGATTGCTGTCAACGCGTTGCAAATGTACTTAAACGCAATGAGAAATATTTCAATCGAATGATGACGTTTTATGACAAGATCCATATACTTTGGAGCCAAGCTTTTTCAACATTTTCTCTTCACATAAGTCCCGCTAATGTCTCAAAACATACTGTGACGGAGTGGCACAGGAAAGCTGTTGATTGTGATTCACTGGCCTTAAGTGAGACTCCCACGATTACCTACAATTGTATAAAAAAAGTACGTAATCGCACCATTAATATGACAATTCTATGTAATCTGTGGTGAAATAATTGTCAAGGACATCTAGAAAATTTTCTCTTCTTTTCTTTCCATTGTTCTAATAATTCGAAGTTAGGAAGTTCTGAGTAAGTTTCTCGCCTTAAAGAGATTATTTATAAAAAATTGGCTTTTTCCAGATTTTGAACGATATCTTTTTATACGAGAGATATGTGAATATATTGTATTTGAATGGAATGCAGATTCTATACGAGAAAATAGATAAATTAAAAATAAAGGTTCATCAGGAGAACCAGAAGGAATCCTTCAAAAAGTTCTATACAGAAGATAATATAGATGCGAGATTGGCGGTAAGTCTTTCAAAAGCGAAAAAATGGTATCAATTCAGTAACGAAGCGGAAAATCGTAACAACTCGAAGTTTCTTTCCGTGAGTTGATCATATCATGGAAACTAATAGAGATGGCCAAGAGTATTCAATACTTTTTTTGTAGCTCTCAATGAAAAAGCCCTACGAAAAATATTGTGGCGAAATTTCCGTTGTGTCCGTTGGCCCTCAAAATTTTTAATGAAATCTCACTGTTTATCGTTTTGCTACTGAATCAATTTCAAGAACGAGCTAGATTACGTCAGTCTGGCCATAAAGCGAAACTTTAGATCCTACACGAGAGGCAAATTTGAATACTCCGCGAATGGCGCGTAATTATTGTCGCCATTGATTAAAATCTATTTCATCACAATCTAGAGGTATTGCCCGGAGACTTCTAGTACGAGTTCATGGCTGAAACTGATGCCCATGGCGAACAATTCACGGAATACTTAAGGGAGAGAACCGACTACATTCCAGAGGAAAGCGTGAAGCGAAACTTCTGCCGGATTTTACAACTGTATCAGGAACAATCTTCTAAAAGTCTACCAATCATAATAACTTTTCACTAGCGTAAGTGAATTGAAAAAAAAAACAACTTTAAAAAAGACTGAATTTGAAACCTTCGAATTCATTCGATTTTCTTGGCGACCTATTACAAAATGGAGTTTCTATATTTATTATCATTATAATAATAACAAAGATGAATAAGCGAGTTGTCAAATTGTTGCTAAATTTATCCAGTCCTATTTTTTTTTTTCGTGGAAGTAATGTACAATTGAACACATCAAATTGGGAGGGAACTCATTGATAATTTTGTGCACGGTTTATTTTATCTGTTGAATCACGTTTCACATTCTCGACACCATCGCCATCACATCATGAATTCACCACCCGAATACAATATCAGGTATTCAGTGGCTGTAATTCATGCCCTTTTACATAAAAAAAGTAACGCTGACCCAGTGCCCGAAGGGCGGTCCATTAATTGCATTTCACCATAAACATTTTTATGATTTCAACGTGACCTAATGGCACTGGTATTTCTTCTCGGGGATTTATGTAATATGAAACCTTTCGCATTTGAATTATATATTTACACATGAGGGTTGAAAACAATTATTTGAATTTACGATATTCTCGTGGAATCTGCAGTTCAATCTTTAACACGAGTTATGTGATTCATAACTCTACTATTATATATTATATTTTTATATATTTCAATATATAAAAATATATTATAGAAAAGAAAAGAAAACTAGAAAAATACTCAATTTAAAATTAGTACTAAAAATAAAAAAATAAGAGTAAACGTCGAGTTGTGGGATGAACTGTTATGTCATCAGATGTACAACTCCATCTCTATCGAATATTCGTCAAGATTAAATAGAATAATTGCAGATGGAATGGTTATTTCATCTGAATTATGCGATTCCCTCTTTCATTCCACTCACGAAAACAATTGAATTCCAATTTATCTCAAAATGCCCGGGAATTTCCGATATGTACAGCAACGCTGAAGACTCTCATTGTTGGGAATAATCCAATTGCCCTGAGTGTGCATTGGAACTAATTAGAGGCACTCCTGTTCTCGGACGCAGAATTAAAAGAAAATTGCGCTTTTCCGGGATACACTGGTTGTCATGTTTCCTCGCAATTTTTTTTTTTCCAGATGAAGATCCAAGTCAATTATTATGTTTTCTCTCCCTATTGACATGACTGCTGTCACCTCTCTCGCTGCTTTCGATATTCAGTCAATTTTAAACAATTTCTCATAACAAAAACTATGCCATTGCACCATGAGCGTCACTCAAATCCCTCAAGTAACTCTCGGTTTTCACCCATTACGATACACTTTTTCCATTGACTTTTGTTCCGATTTCTCATGAAAGCCTGTGGAAAAGCGGAAGCCTATTTCTCAGCGATAAGAATCAATGGGATTTTAGCAGAGTGCCTCGCACGCGAAGCACGTCGAGTTAAAAGGTACTTTTCAAACCTCTAACGCTGCGTTTGTCTCCTTTTCTCCGCAGTCTATATTCTCTTTTACTGTGCAAACCGTTGGAATGTGAAGCCACACAGTATTTTCCCGTTGGTATGCTACACGATGGTGTGGCGTTATCCTTTTTCCATTGGCAAGTTTGAGTGTTCATGGCGGAAATCCTTGGAATGACCACAGGTCTAGCCGAGCTTATCATTTAGATTTTCGTGGTGATGGTACTTGAAAGAGAGAAAAAATTTTCACCGCCGGTGTTCTTTGATTTTTTACGATCCACCCCCAGTCACCCTATCCTCGCACTTGCAACTCTTATTTTATGCATTAGCATTTCGACATTTGAATCTTGAAACGTCTCCATCAGCTTGAATTTTTCGTTCAAATCTGATAGTGCATTATTTATTTGTCGGATATTTGCGCGCCTGTAACGAGATTGACAGTTTCAATGAGTACCGCACCGACTGCGGATTGACAACTGGGTTAGGTACACTGTCCGCGGAATTACCAATGTTCCCCCCATCCAATTGATGGGTGTATACAGGTGTATCTCATAGCCAATTCCTCCAATGAGGCAGCAGGTGTTTGTCCGCCTTCCCTACCAAATGGTGTACATTTTGGATAATTAGTTTTAAAATCAATACTTGTGGCAATATTTTCCATCAATTGTGTAGGTCCATGAATTTTCCAGTACTACAAATTATCCCGTGTTTATGAGAAATCGGTAAACTCTCCGGAAGATTAAAATAGCGGATAAAGTGGAATGATGCAACGCGAGTTGGTTAAAATGTTGTTGAGAGTGGAATATTTTGAAAGTTTCTCGATTAGTTTTTCCACGAGTTTTTTTTTCACCTATTTTTTTTAACTGTTTCGAAAGTTCGCGTAATCGCTTCTGCAGTTTTTACAAAGTAGCAACCTGAGGTATTCGGAATTTTAGGGGAACGAAAATTGTATTGTTATGCAGTTTTAGGTCATTACGGGAGATCGTGGCGAAAAGTTTTTGGACGTTATTCATTTAGTGGTTTATGCTCTTGAATGGATTCTTCGCTGCTACGCGGATTTTATCATAGAAATATGTGGAATATACGGAATTCATCTCGCTACATCAGCGTTCTTTGGTTATTCTGGAGAGAAGTTTGAGAAGAATTCAAGTACATTATTTGAGATTATATTTGCATTCTTGGAACTGTTGGATTTTACGTGTTTTTGTTTAAAGAGGTGAAGCTGTTGTTGAGGAGATTTTGAAGGTTTTACCATTTTTCAGTTGTGTCGAGAGGAATTTAGGAGAGTGCGGTTTAATCCTTTATGATTTTTCTATTTATGTACGTGCAATTGTTCATTTTGGTCTTCATTAACAAAAAGATCAATGAACAATGAATTTATGCAGAGAACATGTCACATCGTGCAATGACATTCTTAATTTAGGTTCTATTCTGGAAAGTTCTATAACATTTTTATCCGTTCGAATTAATCTCGTTTGACGACTTCACCACTGAAATCCATTAGTAATGAAAATAACTCTCCGCTCTCGGTGACTCATTGAAATTTAATTGCTCGTCGAGCTTCAATTTTCAGCATTCACATCGCATTTAAGATAAAATTATTCGTGTTGAAAATTGCGGGGATTTAATTTTTACTCCCCACAAATTGCCTTAAAAGGTATTATCATTAATTAATTTATTCTTCATTCAAGAAATTACTTTCATTTAACCTAGAAACCGATTTGTAAGATGGAAATAGTGTGCTCTAATTTGAAGATGGCTTACCGTCGATGTATTTTAATTTCCCAGAAAAAAAATGGTGATACTTTTGTCTTCTTACAATTTCCTTTGTAAATTTACGAGAAATGATAGGGCCATCCTTGATTCGAAAATGGCATCCAGAGGGAATTGATGAAGTTTCTGTTAATTCCCCCAACAGTAAAAAGAGTCTATCAAAGTAAATAGTAAGGGATAGAATTACAATGTTAGTGCGCCTCCGGGGAAAAATTCTGGGTTGGAGTTCAGCTTTATTTCCACCTCGTAACTTGTTGAGTGGCTCATCCCCTCGACAATACGGAAAACGATGTGTGCTAAAATCCCAGGGTTTTGTTAGAAATCATGTACTCATCTAACAATTTTTATACAGCACCTTAAAAAGATATTGCAATATCATGAGAAAACTCGTAATTATTCAACAGCGGGGAATAAATGTTCGACAAACATTTGAGATTAACTGTGGGATTCTTGCAAGTCGAATAATATTATGATTCAATTTGCATCGAATGAATATTCCATTGAGATGACTCTTTTATTCCGGGTAAATATGGCCTCTCGTCGTTCCTACAAGTTTATGCTTTCAAGGACTGTTACCATTGAGAATTATTGGGTAAATATAATAAACCGCAATTGCAGTTTACAGGAGACATACCGACATGTCCAACCTCATCGCCAAATGCAGAGAGAATCTGTGTTGCCTCTTTTTTGTGCCTCGCCAAGACTTTTTACGAGTACACCGAGAATAAAATTCTATTAAAATTACCAGAAATGTAACTAAAAAATTGTCAAGGGAAATTTACCTAAAAGTATGAGTTGGAAAAGAAGTATTATGAATCGTCACGTGAATTCTGCAATCTGTTTTGTAAAAATTACTGAAATGACTAAATTACTATTAACCAGTCTGATGACTCAACGCTGTGTTCCCAACAAGTCGTGTCATCGTTTATCCCCGCTGATTGGAAATTTCATTGAAAAATAAGTCGAGAACTTTTCTGTAAGACTTTTCATGTTCACGTAATACTACGATACAGTTTCGTACTTTTTTTAGTGATAAACTTGAGAAACCGCTGAACACTTCGCACTTATTTCCTTCCATTCCTGTAAAACTGCGGGAAAATGATTTTCTCCTCCGGATTATTCAAATTGTTCCGTAATTTCAACTGTATATAAGATTAAACAACTTTAATACCTTCAATTCAATTAGTCGTTACTAATTTGAAATACTTTGAGGTGAATAATTACCTGAGAGTGTAATTCAATGAATGTCAGTCACCTAAAATTGTAGATTTGTTGGGCTGAAAAGGCTATCCCACTATGAGGAAAAATCGATTTTCCATTATACCGGAGAGTTATTTCCCTAAACTTCTTAATCGCTATCAATCTTTCCTCTGTCTCAGTCCCACCGGATAACTCCTCAGCCCATAGAATTTGATGGAACGATAGTTCAGCATATTAGATTCCATTCTGTGTAAACTTGGTAAATTCAATCGTACGTGAGATCGAAAATCGATCACTCCTTGCACGTGAGAAGTTATCAGGTACATTGGATAACTGCGTGTGATACAGCTTTGTGTTGAACGTAAATCCACTGCGTGTATTTCGCTCCTTCACTGGATTTCAATCTCTGAAATTTGTCGAAGAGTGGAGGAACCCTTGAGGGGTGAATTCGATCAACACATCCGGTTACTCAAATTCACACCTCCCGGAACACACAAACAGCAACAGAATGTGATGATATTTTCTTGATCTATTTGCATACTGTGTAGTCTCACTCTTGACAAGTTTGGACTA